TATATATATAAGCAACTTTAAACAGATCAGGGGTCAGGAGTGTAAAGGTGCAGCTGTGGGGGTCCTTCCTGTCCTCAGCAGGATGCCTCACTGCAGCACCAGTGATGAAGAGCAGACCAGTATCATCATCATCATCATCATCATCACCCTGCTGGCTGCTGATGGACCCAGGCTGTCCTGGAGCCATGTTCACAGAAACTCAGATCTTTATTAAAAAGCACAGAGGAGGACGGCGCTGTCGGCTCCCGTCAGTAACACTTCCTGTGGGTTTCTCCTGCAGGTGGAGGACATCAGGTCCACGACATTGTTCAGCAACAAGCAGGGAATTCACGAGATGAGCTGAATTTCGACTTTTGACTTAAAACACAGTTTTATTTATCTCAATAAATGAATAATTTATGCTAATTATTAAAAAAATGTTTTTTTTCTGCAAGGATGATTTAAAGCACCTGCAGAACACGTTCTTTAACTTTTTACCCAACTTTTTAGTTCCTGATGCAACATGTGACCTAAATGTCCTTGGTTGAGCGACACAAAAAGAGCTAAAAATGTAAATAAATAAGGTTTTCACATTTATTCCACTGCTGTTATCTTTTGTACCATTTAGGTCTGGGCAAGAAATCAACAATAATGATATATATTGTTATACGTTTTTAATGTTTGATTTCTGGAGATCCCCTCTGGACACCCTGGTGTTTGTGACCCAGAGTGGGGGTCCCAACCTTAACTTTGAGCATCGTTAATTGAAGGTTTGAGAATCATGAAAGCCGACAAAACGTGCACTCGTCTGATTTTGTTCCTTCTAAGTAATTTCCCATGTTTTAAACAAAGTATCTGTAACGAGTCAAAACTCTGATTTAATCAGACGTTAAAGGGATTCTTTCTCAACCAAGTTTATTTATAGAATTTAATAAATCGAGCTGAAAACAATAGAAGCTAAACAAACGGGTCGTTTTGTTCCTGTTTTATCTTTTTATTGAACTGATAACAAAACCAAATTCTGCAAAAACAACAGAGTGAAGAGGTTTGATGTGTTGTTGGGCTGAAGGCTGAACCTTCCTGCTCTGCGGCTCCAGCAGGAGATTCTGAGTGTAGTTTGTGGATGATTCACTGACGGTGTGTGTGTGTGTGTGTGTGTGTTTGTGTAGCAGTAGTGCGTTTGTGTTCACTGGATCTGACTCTGTAACCATCTCCAAGCGCAGAAGATGTAAATTCCACGGGGGGCGTTCGGAGGTCGGTCGGGAAGCGAGGCGTTCCCCTGAGTGGGCTCGGTGGGTTGGACGTTTTAATTTGCAGCTCGGGGACGCGTTCGTGCGGGTAAATTGTGTTTCCTCAGGTTGTTGTGCTTGTTGAACAAACACCAGCTGTGTGTTTGTTCAGGAGTATGTTTAGCCGGGGATTGTAATCCCAGCAGAGCTGCAGGCTGAGGCTGCTCAATGAAGCTGGAGGGCCTGTGCACAGATCAGCTCTGTCCATGGATTTCTGGGTGTTGAGCAGGTTTTACCACCTGCTGATGCAGAAGTCATCATGCTCTCAATAACGACTCTTCAGGGTTTATAAAATCTAAAACCTTTTTTTTTTGGATGGTTTTCTGCTGAAGCTGCCCAGACTTCTCACACCTCCTCCAGCTCTTTTGGCGAGACACCAAGGCGTCCCCAAACCAACCGAGAGACACGATCTCTCGAGTGTGTCGTGAATCAGCCTCCCTCGGATCAAACGGGTTTAAAAGCGTCTCGTGTGGGAGGTGTCCTGGTGACATCCTGACTAGATGCCCCCACGACGGTCCTCACTGACTCCTGCTTCCCCGCAGAGCAGCAGGTTCTGCTCGGAGCTCCTTATGAGCGACTGAACCGTTGTTTCAGCAGGTTTGTTTGTTCAAACCTTTTATTCTGGTCGTCTTATAGAATCTACTCTGAGGGTTTTATCAGGAGCCTCTTGTAAACGTGAGCAGGTTTTAGCCTTTAGCAACAGATTTTAAATCTGTTATTATATAAACTGAAGCTGGTCGAGTGAGATCAGCTGCCTGAAACGTAAAAAATAAACCATTGTCAGAGTTTCGTTTGGCAGCAGCTGGTTTTTGCTCATATCTCAGAGATGACATCACACTTCCTGTTGGCTCGTGACCACAGGTGAAGTCAGGAGTGCAGATTTTACAGCCTTTCCTGCTGCTCTATCTTCAAAAGAGCTCAAATTAACAGAAAAGTAGCTAAAAACTAGCAAACAACATAGCTTAAATTGCAGAAAACAGCTGAAAGAGGCATACAAGATTAAATTAGCACAAAAAACTGCAACAACTAGAATAGGGCTGCCACAAACGATTATTTTAAAAATTGATTAATCACCGATTATTTATTTGATTAGTCGACTAATC